ATCTCCCCTTCCACTGCCTCCCCCTCCCACTCCCCCCTCACACCCTCAGTTTCAGTCCAGCAGAGTGGAGTTTACACTTTCGCAGGTAAAACCAGTTACACACTTGCACACACTCAGGCAGCTTAGTAATGGAGTGGAAAAAGAAAAAAACCATTAAAGTTACCGCTTTGTTATTTTCTCCTTCAATACACAGATTGTGTAGCTGTCAAAGATAGTCGCAGTTTTTCTTTTTCAAATGTACGCACACACACACACACACACACACACACACACGTGCCAACGCGCACCTGAAGTGTGGAGACGAGAACAGAAGAAACACAATGATGGACAAAATGGTGTTGGGTATGGCTGTGTCACGGTTGTTTCATCTTTTTTTCTTTTTTTTCCCTCTTTCCTCCTGTTGATAATCCCTAAACTTCAAACCCCATCCTCATATCGCTCTCCTCCTCTTGCCCAAACATCCATCCACCCATTCCTCCATTCATGCACGCATCTACGCATCCATCCATCCATCCATTCATCCATCCATCCATCCATCCATCTACTCATCCACTTGAGAAGCTGAGGCAGACAACATTGCAGGTATAACTTTTCCACCAGTAGCCTGTCTCTATGGTTCTCTGTCGTTCTGAGTCCTCCTCCACGTGTTTGTGCTTCTGATCGTCTGCAGTTCTGTCTCTCTCTCTTCTTGTCTGTCGTGCGTACTGTGCGGAGAAAAGGTCCGGGGGACCTTCGAACTCCCGGGCAGAGGGATGAATATTTCATATATATCCCGCTCACACACAGCCACCTTTTTTTTCTGGGCATTCACATCCACAAAACCGCCTCCAAACACAAACACACACGTCTGGAAATGTCACATGCAGAGGCCGTTATCCGTGAACACATAGGCCATCACGACCCCTTAAGTGGGGGCAGTGTTCCACTTCCTGTCTGTGTGTGCAAAGGGAGGACGCTGGGGGGTTGGGGGTAGGGGGGGGGGGGTCAGGTTTGGAAATGTTCTCGGGCCTTGTCTGCTTTCCTTTCATGCTGACCGGAGAATTTACGGGCTCGTTCTCATTCTTGCCTCGTCAGCATGCCCCCTCTCACCTCGGCGTCGGCCAGCCCGAGTGTGTGTCTTCCACTTTTCTGTGTGTGTTTGTGTGTCTGTAATTGTGCCTCCTTTTTTCCCTTTACTCTCCTTTCCTCTTTCTACGACTGGCCTCTGGTTAGCTGTTAGGCCTTTCGCTCCTCTAAGTGGTACTGCTGATACTTTCGGGGGCCGTCACCACATCCGAAAAAGCCTCACTTTCTCCCGTCTTTGGTTTCAGTTTGTTCACGTCAGTGGTTGTCGATGGCCTTTTGTTGTGTGTTGTGTCTCTTTGCTGTAATCTGATTGGGTGTGAAAACTAGCCTCTTCCTCCTTCCGGACAAGCTCTTGCCCCTCGTCATTGGTTTGACCCTCTGAATTCTGGCCAAGTGGAAGTCAGTCTCGCCTTCTATCTCCCCCTTTAATCCCTCATCATCTGATTGCTTTTAAGTGCTTCAAGCTTTTTTTTTTTTTTTTGGGATGAAAAGTGCCACTTTTGACTTCCTGT